TCTATCTATCTATCTATCTATCTATCTATCTATCTATCTATCTATCTCATAGGAGCTCTTTCAAGCTGGGCACCTTTTCATTCACAACACCTGTCCGACCAACCAGGAACCAATGAAAATAAGAAAAAACAAAACCAAGTAAGAGAGGGAAATTAAGACAACTAAGATAAAGGCTCTGACCTGTGCCCCCCCCCCCCCCCCCTGCCCCTGCCCCCCCCCCCAGGCCCTCCTGGAGGCCCGGGCGGTGCGGGTGCTGGTGGTCTCCTTCGGGGGGCCGGAGGGCGCCCGGCTGTGGCTGGACCAGACCAGCTGCCCCTTCCCCATGCTGCTGGACCCCCAGAGGAAGGTCAGGACGCTAGCCGTTAGCATCCGAGCTAACGGGGGGGGGGGCGACTCCTAATAGGGTTGTCACGATACTAAAATGTTTAACTGGATACTGACACTCAGGAAAATATTCGATACTCAATACCGTTTTAGATACCACAAGGATAAAAACAAAGACCCAAACTTTGACTGTATTTTGACAGGTTAGTGTCTTTGGTTTCAAACTGACCTGTAACTGATGTTATTGTGACTGGTGGCCCGCATTAATAACCCTAAACCTAACCCTAAACCTGACCCAACAGCCTTCATAATTGTGATAAGTAAATATTTTTTGGTTAAACTTGTTTGGACTTATTGTACAAACCTATTTAACATCCACTATTTTAACATAATATTATGGATAGAGTTTAATTAAGCGTTTTCAAGATTCATTTCACTATTTTTAAATTAACGTCTATATTGCCATGAAGCAATTAGGATTTTCTTGCCTGGGATCTTCCTATTGGTGACCTAATCAAAATGGCCGACTTGGACATGGGTGGAGTTGTATATCCATCCTTGGCTTCCTGCAGACTTGATTAATGTTGGCGTGTTATTATTAGCCATTAGCCGCAGCTAGCAATTCAAGGCTAACGTCACGTTACTGATCATAAACAACGTAAATAAATAAATAAATAAATAAATCGGTATTTCTGCTTTGGCAGATCTACCGGAGCTTCGGCCTGGGCTCGTCCTACGCCAAAGTGATGAGGTTCGGCTGCCTGCTGCAGTACTCCGAGTTCGTCGCCGCAGGCCGAGACTTCCCCGACGTGCCCCCCCGCCTGCTGGAGGACATCTACCAGGTAAAAGGACTCGGGGAGGGGGGGGGGGGGTATTTATTTATTTATTTATTACCCGAATACTCACAGGAATTACAGGAAAGCTCCAGCTCCAGCTGAAAAGTGAAGATCAGAGTTTAAAAAGTCCCTTTATCCCCTTTAATTGGGTCATGGTGATGGCGTTTCCTTATTAGTTCCCTTTAACTGGGTTATTTTGATGGTGTTTCCTTATTTGTTCCCTTTAATCAGGTTATTATGATGGTGTTTCCTTATTAGTTCCCTTTAACTGGGTTATTTTTATGGTGTTTCCTTATTTGTTCCCTTTAACTAGGTTATTATGATGGTGTTTC